TGACTTCGTAATTTAGTTTCTTTTGTCTTGTCTTCACCACCTGGCTACTGTTGTAAAATGTTGAGAGATTCAAACAAAAAGTAATCAATAAATAGAACAAAATAAAAAAAAAATAAAGACTGCAAGTGACATCGCTAGCGGAAGTGCAAGTGTCTGAGAGTGCACACGCCTGAGAGTGCAGGTGCGAGGCTGCAGCCAGACCCTTCTCAGATGATTGGCTCAGCTCTCTCCTCTCTCTCCGTTGTTAGGATGCAGAGATTCTGATTGGTGTGTCATCAGTTTTGCTACCTAATGTTTAACTTACTCATTGTTGAACTTTTTGAGAAATGTGTCTTTGTTTTGAAAACTGAATTAATGGTTTGGGGAAAAAAGTGCCAACTAAAATCAGTTATATTAACAATCAAGAAAACTGCAATACGACTAGATTCTTACCTTACGGCTTATATTCATGATGAAAGTGGAGCGAGCGGTCGGAGAATCGGATCACCAAACAATTACGCGATGAATCTCAGACATATCCGGACGGGATTAGATTTCTCAGAGGACTTCAGAGTTAGCTGAGAAGCAGTAATTATCTGATTCACGAACAAATGTAAAAACAATTCGTTAGTGAACTGCGCCGCGCTGTGGTTTTGACTCAAAAAGTTCCGGTTCATAAGAGTCATTTGTTAACGAAGCCAACTGTACTGGCACGCTGCGTGCCAGTGCAACCATCGTGCACAGTTTATTGAAAGACGTGGGTTTTTTTTGGCATTATTTTGCATACTCTGTCATCGCCGCGGCTGAGAAGTAGCACATGAAACACTGCTTACATTTATATTTTATTCTGTGATAATTTTGGGGTGGCAGGTGGGGTGACAGCTTTTTCTTAGGGTGGCAGTTGCCACCCCGGTAGATCCGTCCCTGTGCCAGAGGGACCAAACAGCAAAGCTTTATTTCCACCAAAGAAATGGCTGGAGTCGAGAGTGGGAGCATTTTGGGTACACCAAGAATGACCAGGGCATCATTGAAATATTGCCGTAAAAAGTTGCTGCTAATAAAGCAGACACGTATGGGATAATGACCGGCTAGCT